GAGCTATTAAGGCCAACGTATGCAATGGGTACTGACTTTTGCCCCCCCCCCCCCTGTGTAGTTTGAACATCTAATAGTTCTTTCAGTGTTAAATATGATTAAACGATTTCTCATAGCTTTATTTCAACTGGTAGGTCTCGTTCAGTAACTGTTGATATTTTTCCATCCGCTGTTGATGATGTGTTTTAGATGGTTTGTCCATTCTCTTTGCTGAGAGAGATACGATTAGATGTTACTGCAATTTTGATATGTACTTTACTATTACACTAATAACTACATATAACTAGGATAACCAGGTTGTAAATTGAGTACGACTGTATCCAATGAAACAAGAAAGTTTCAATGAAACAAGAAATTTTATTTATAGCAAATTTTACAGATTAAAATGATGTAAAACAGTTTATAAAAATATAATGCTCATTTGGTGTATGATTTTTTGTCCTTGACTGTTAGTTTGATTTTGAAACTAATGGGGCAAGGAATGTGCGTGCCTGAAAGCTTTTGCACACACCAAAACGCTAGTTCAGTTGAGTTTTTAGAGAAAAGGCTCATATTAGGATCAAAAGAAAATTGTTAGCAGACATTAGGGGTTCTGTTTATATTTTTACTATGGGTTGTAGTCTTGTTGTGACAGAAAGTCTACACTATAAAGTATGCTTAAGTTTATATTGTGTAGTTTGATGATATAAAATGAAACTTCAAGATGGATATTGGAGAGCTGGTGAAAAATTATGGCCTTTGTATCAATGGTTATAATATTAGCTATAATTATCTTAAACTATACAGTGCTAATTAAAAATTTCTGTATACTTCATTCTCAAATTAAATCTTAAAAATTCAAAAATATACATTTTATTAATACCTTTCTCACGCATACTTTACTCACAGGACAAGACTTGGAAAACACTAGACTAGGGGAATTTCATACAGATGTGTGTGGCCAGCAAGTAGTGATATTTGGAAGACAATATTGTTGCAGTCAAAATCTTTTATGGTCCAATCAAGCAGGGCGTGGCTATGTTGATTATTTAATAGTGCACGTCTAAGCTTTCCCCGTAAACACATCACACTTGAATGGTAAAGTCAGCCATTCTAATTTTTGGGGTAATTATGTTTTAAATTTTGGCTGATCTTGTATTGTGGTTGTCAGGTGGGTCAGCCTGACAAATAAGTAGGGAGGGCTTCCCGACTCAACCCATTATAATAACTAGCAGGAACCCGTATAATATAACCCTAAACGGTGTCAAGACTCAAAATACTAAAATAATTATTACCTATTAAATTGGCGTTTTTGACACCACTTGGGGGTCCAAATTTTCGGCTCTAAAATCATTATTCCTTGACCAATTTTTTATTTTTTCATGCTGATTTGAAGGCCATTGAAGCATTTGACCCAGCCAAAAAAGTTCCAGTTGTATGATTTTTTGATTTGAAACTTTTACAAAATAGCAAATATACAAATGTACAGCAAGTCGAACAAACATATAAAATGGGCCGAAATGTATAAATGCTATAAAGCGTGGGTCAGTGAAACAAGTGCAGAGGACAACTTTCAAAACAGGAGTTTTATGGCCGCCCAAAGTCTCAATAACATCACCTCCACCTAGTAATAAAATTATGAAATATGAAAAGTGTGAAACAATCAAATAATAAAATATTCAAAATACATAGTTGTCTCTTAAATACAGATAACGTCTGAAAATTCTTAAAATAATCATCACTCCTTCATATACTGATCAGTGTCCGAGAGTGTAACTCATGATGACTTCTTATCACGGCTACATACCTTCCCGTACCGGATGTAGTGGTCGAGATGAGTCTGTTCCGCCCTCTTCTTCTTCAGGTCAGTGACCAGATGCTTCCTTGTTGCTCGTTCTTCGCTGGATCTGTCTGGACATATCCATACATCTTTGTGCGTCTCCCTCAGTCTCCCTGTTTTCATCAGAATCTGATGAACCGCTGTTGAGCTTGGGACGGTGATCTTGACTGGTCGGATAGCCGTACTACCTGGCCTCTTCCAACCGACTCTAGTCGCTTCGAAGTGAGGTTTCTCCCCGATCTCCTCCAAAACTGCGGTAACTAGCGCTGGAAGCTGTTCTTCCTCCTCTTCTTTCAGCCCAAACACGATCAGGTTCTTGCTCCTGTCCTCCTCTGCAGCCACACTCTTCATCACCTTCTTCAGGATTTTACTGTTGCAGACCGTACCACTTGCACTGTTCTGTTGAACAGCTGCACTATAGTTCTGAATCCCTGACTCCACCGTTGTTTGGACTGTCTCCTCAACAGACGTCTTAAGCAACTGTAGTTGTTCGTCCTTCTGCATCAGCAGCTGGCCCTGCAGTCTGATCACCTTTTCTTTGTCTGCTAGTGCTTCCGTCTTGAAGCACTCGATGATCTCCTTCAAGAGATACATCTGACTACTCTGCCGACGAACAAGGTCCACTGCATCCACAATCCAGCCAGACAGAGTCGTTTTATCCTTAGTCTTGATCTTTTCACGACTTTCGAAGTCAATTTCACGGTAGTCCATATGCAGGTCTTTTTCTAACTGATCGGACCAGCGTGCAACACAGCCTTCCACATCTTCCTGTTGATCATAGTTGAAATCCTTAATCAACTCCTGGGATCGGGTCAAAGTTGGGTCATCCCCCATAGTGTACTTGTATAGTAATGTACAAGTACACACGCAAAGGTAAACGGTAGCAGCAAACTGAACTTATTGCAAATTTACAAAAGATAAGAGAGCTCGATATTTGCAACACAAGCTACACTGATTACACACATATCTTTTATGGTTTATGCGGAAAGTCGCGTTAAAGTTGATGCCGTGGTGTCAGTAAAATGGCACAGATATATATATATATATATATCGTCTCGCTTTATATATAGTAAGATAGGATCGGAGTCTGCAGTTTGGGGATCTAATAGGGGACCCCCTATTGGAATCACTACCTGGTCCAAAGATTGTTAATGCGTTGGTAAGGACTAAGGTACAGGTGTGCAATAATTAGGGCCTAGGGGGGGGGGGGGGGGGCAGGGGGCTGACCAGACCATATTAAAGTATATTCAAGTATATCCCTGCCCTAAATCAGGAAAAAAACCTACATTTTAATATACTTTAATATACCCAAAATTATTCGAACTATATTCTTTGTTTAGATTTGCAAGATAAGCCTGTTTTTGGACTAGTACATGAATTTACATCCAGTTTGGTCAAAAAATGGCTGAATTATGAGCTTTAAACCAATGCCCATTATATTTGGGCATACGCACCAAATTTGAAAGCTTTCTCCCAAAATTCGATCAAATTTCAATATTTTTAAATGAGACTAACTTTATGTGAAAGATATAGCTCAATGAAAGATATAGCTCAATATGGTTACTACTCCTATATATCATATTATTTGATTGGTATTCGATTTCTGATTATTTCTCTGGGAATATGATTATTATATCTCAATATGGCTTTAGGTAGGACTAGGGTGCCCCGCTAAAAGAACTGGATTCTTCCAGGAAGCATCCCGTGCACAGACCTTGGTCTACATATATATTAAATTATTAACCATTCATTCTGTATGTGCACGAAAATTTATTTCAATCAAATCTATTGAATAGTGGATACTAAGTAAAAAGACCTCCATGAACAAAATTGCACATAATATCTCGGTTCGGGATACTAGCCAAAATGACTTCATTAAAATTGAAATAACTCCTTCAGTTTTAAATATTTATTTAAATATATTAAGGCCTCCAAAAAGATAAAGTATATTATTATTGCCCAAGAGCAAAGATAATTCAGCCTGAATATAACAATAGAAAAATAATAATGGGTTGAGCAATAGCTTTCAAGACAATGCATTTTATTCCGGCAATTGACGTTTCACTGTAGTAGGTGGTCACTATAGCCTTTTACAATTAATATAATTGCACCATTTAATTAAGGAGGGCTCTAACTAATAGAAAATAACTTTGCTAAATAAGCTTTCATTTTGTTGTGCTTAAAGGCAGTGACAAAACGTTGCCTGTTGGCGGACCCACTGAAAAAGCCCCCCCCCCCCCCCCCTGTTGGCGCCCCTCCCCTTTTGGCGCCCCTCCCTGAAATTAGACAAATTAGATGATTTTAGAGGATACGCCGGTAAGATCTCTAAAAAAGTGTGTTCTAGAGCAAAACGCGCAGTTATGCTTACTTACTGTAGTTAAGTTTTTCCAAATTGTCCCACATTCAAACGACGATTTGGCGCCCCCCTAAGATGGCCTAAGATGGCCCTATTGTAGTCTAACCTAAACTAGCACAGAGAATTTAAATACTGACTGATCAGGTCATTCGAACAGTGGCTGACTACTTTATACTTTAGAAGCATGGCCACAAGAAATACAGCAAAGTATGGAAGTGAGCTAGCAAGACTATTAAACGCTCTCGCTGGCTCCTCTGATAACATCGTCAACACTCAAGACACTTTGACAGATATACTTGACAAGGTTAGAACAAGGTGCTATAGATATTTATGATTTAGATGGCTACATTCAATTATTATAATAATAATATGTATTTCTAGCAATTTTTGATTAGTTAATCTGATACTTTTGCTAATCTTATACGCATACAGCATTCATTGAAAGCTACATTTTCATCTGTCAACCTAATCTGAAATAATTGCTAGTAAAATGCCATGGCCCATGCCTGTGAGTGATGAGTTTCAGGATAAGATTTCAGATTGTCGGATGTATTTAGATCCACTAAAGGGCTGACCCCTTTACTTAATCCCAACTGGTACATTGGATAATTTAAAATCAAATTAGACACAATTGTTTTCAAGACAAAATTTGAGGAAACAAGTAATGCTACATTCAACTGAGTTTAGAGTAAACAGCCGCAGTAAATCAAAAGATTTTTTCCCATTAAAAAGAAGAAACTATCCAATAGGCAAAAAAGTAAATTAAATTTATTCCAGGTCCCAATTAATTGAATAATTGGATTATTCTAACAAAGATTACAACTCTTTGGGCATCCCATTGCTACATATTTGTTGTTACTGCAATCTCCACCAATCGCTCCGACAAATCCTGCACACGGTATCCCTTGGTTGTCCTCACAAACAGCTGAAAATATTATTAGATATTAATTAATTATGAAAAATAGTTTGCTGTTTATTAGTCTCATAATTGAAATACTGATAGTTTGATAATATCCGTTGGAACTTGGAACTTGGAAGAGACTAGGACAAATGAAACAGGAAGTTAGGAATATTTGCCTACATTCCGGAATGTAGGCAAATTTTCAGCGTCAACGCCATCTTCAGGCTCAAATTATTTGCTATATTTTTAATACTGTCAACACTACTAGTATTTATAATATAAGAATTATCTGACCTAGTGAGCATGCGCCACAAGACTTGGCACAGTACTGCTGTGAGAAGGAACTGTCACAGCCGCTGTCACCGTTCGGTTGTTTAAAAGCTGCCATTTGGGCACACACAGCGTCTCCTGCCTGATCGAGACAGTCTTCTGCCAAAGCAATGCCAACAATAACTGCAACTATCAGGAACTTCATTTTGGGTTCTGTAACAAAACATTGGTAATTAGTTTACTAACCAATTAGAAATAATCAGCAATTATGCCACGTATATTTGTGGGAGATATTCATCATTGATATTACAAAGTAGACCATAGTTGTGGGTAGAAAAAACTTTATTATATTGTTATGAAAAAGTTGTTAAGATCACTTATTAAAAATCCTTTTAAAGATTACTGTACTTGCAAATCTTAGAATCAATGGCCGACGTTTGCCAAAATAAATAACTGAGTTACAAGCTTTCAAATACCAGTAACAGACCTATTAAATCGTTGCACAAATGCTGTGTGGTGACTTTATTACTATTCAAAGTTTTGGTGTTGAATGAGGGGCAATGACCTGACTAATCCCCCACTACAGCTACTCGTGATTGTGCACGTGACAGAGGTAAGTCACAACTCACACCGACAAACTTATGTTCAAATGTTGGCACAAGGAAATGATATCTGATAATAATTATTGATATTTCCTTGTTTTAGGTTGCAGACTTGCACCCGAAACAGAACAGTATAGCTCTGTGTCAGTTCTACGAGGACTGTGGACACGAACCTATAATCTCTATTCTACCAGTCTTGTAAGATCTATTTTTATTTATTTTTTATAAAATACCTTTCAAATTTTACAGAGTACTGCAATAAATAATCATTAAATAGAACCGTTTGAAAGTATTACCCCCATCTGTATACTCAATGTTCAATTCTTCAAAAGTAATACATATTTTGACACTGCTCCTGGAATCTGACAATTTAAGCCTTATCTCCCCACCACTTTTCAAATCTAAGATTGGTTGCTATTTAATACTCATGAGATAAAACTAAATTCAATTTAAAACTACGCCTTTTAAGGGGGGGGGGGGGCCAATGGGTATTTTTTTGTGAAACTTGATTTCGAGATAGCAGGAGGGAAACAAAATGCAGTTTTAAAACATTTAATTAATCTTTTTAAAATACTAATACTGAGCTTGCTCCATATTTATTAATATGATATATAAATTATATCACGTACATTATGTATACTAGTAATGTAATATGAACGATAAATAACAACATAGAAAATACTCCATTTAAACTGCTCTCCCGAGAAACTACGAAAATGTACAAAATTACGTTAAAAGAACGTGGTCTAATGTTAGTTTTTTAGGATGATTCTATCAATTTTGTTATTTGGACCAATGATTAGTCACATAAGATTATGCGAATATAATTATTTTCACTCAATTACTATACGGAAAACATAAATTTTTAGATGATCTGAATAAGATATGATAATAAAATTAAAGACGAAGTATCACTCAACAAACCAAACCGGGTTAAGTGAAATGTGAATAAGGAGTAGGATTGTTCAAACTGTGCCAGGATTATTTACAAAATAACGCCGCAACTTATTTTCTATCCCGTTCCTTAGCAGTATCCCAGAGAGGTTTATAGCAGCCTACAAAAACTACAATCAGACAGTAAGCTCAGCTACAATCAGGGGTTCCTACACCCCTGGCTACAACAACAACAAAACATGCCTTACCCTTTAATCGAAAGTTATAAACTGCAGTACGCAGTGAGTAGCCGAGGCGCCGTGCAGCTCTATCCGCATTATCTTCAACGATTAAAGGAATGTAAAATATAACTTATTGCTTCATTGAATTGTGTCGCAATAGAGGTCAGCTGAGGACCAACTTGTAGTGATCAATTGTCCCAATCAGCTCCTGTTAAGAATAAATTGCTTATCAAATGAAACGAAATATCAACCTGCCATTTCGACTGATATACAACTATTCGGAAAAGTTATGCAATTCACGTCGGTTATTAAAAATCGTGAACAATCTGTCGTTTCCTAGTGATGACTGCTAAAATAAAAGTGAACTTACTCTTCCATTTCCTACAGATTAAACAACAAAGAATGCAACAAAGAGTTTTTTATCGCAACGATTCGGGCTCTGCGTAATGTAAACGGTCTAAGAAAGTTGAGGACGGATCACTGGCAATCCCTACCTTATCAAGAAACCATGGTAACCATGGAAACCATACCACAATATCATGATATCATAGACGATAGTATGATAACTTAGTTTTACTTTTTAAAATCTTTCAGTCAAATTAGAAAACCAGTCGTGCAAATAGTAACGTCTAAACTAAATTGTTTTTAAAGGCTTGTTATTCTAAATTAGGTCACGTAGTAACAATTTTGGGAATGTTTCAGTTGTTACTGCTAACAGAAGGGCTCAGGTCTGATGATGAGTTGAAACAACTTTACTCTGCTGCTACACTAGCCGGGTAAGAAACAACCAGCTTTCCCCTCCTTGTAGTTAATAAGTCATTACTTTACTTTTTTGTAGTCTTACACTTATAGATATTTAAAGTAGAATACAATCAATAGTTTATTTGTACAGAGTGACGATGCACTACTCGGAGTTTACAAAGAATGATATTCCTGACCTTCTTATGAAGATGTACAGCTCGGACGATATCCAGGAGAAAATACACATGGTTCGTTAATCGTTCATCTAGGTACAATGTACAACGGACAATATACAATGTACAATGTACATACTTCATTTATTAGGCAAGTACTCTGAAGTTAGAAGTATTATACACATTGAGTACAATTATATACAACTATAAGGGACTTCAGAGTTCACACCCCAGTTCCCTCACCCTGTTGTTGTCCAGGCGACAGCTGCGGATGCTGACTACCTCCACCCTACCACAACGCGCGCCTCAGCAGCCCACACCATCATGAAGTTCTACCAGAGTAAAGTGTTCTACGAGGTTAGTCCTCCGCAAGCAGTCTCTTCCTCCGCAAGCAGTCTCATTAACAATTAGTGTTCTTACTTTTAAAAGTGCTAATAATATATGATTAATATTTTGTCTAATGGTCCTTATTTTTCTGATGGTTTATCACATGACTTGGTCAAATGAATGATCTGCTAATAAAATCTGATGTGGGTGTAGTCTAGGGAGTAGCTAAGAATCCATTGGATCTATGCGATCTCCTCGGTCGACTCAGCCGAATGATAGCAAACTTGATTGAGGGTTAAATGAGAAGGGGTACCCCTTCAGTACATACTGTAAACATAGTACTATTACTATTAACTATTAGCAACAACTTAACACATCATTACCCACTTGGTGCAGAAATATTATTAATCTATTATAATATAAACAACACAGATTTTCAACATTTGCTGATGATCTGACTCCAGCATCATAATATGCATCACATAAGTCGTTTAGGTGCTTCTTTAACATTTAATGTTTGTAATAACTCATTAACCAGTATTAGCTAAGTTTAGTATGTTTCGATGATTTGTGAGGTTAATTAAAGATGTCTACTTAAAACCACGTACATTTCTGGGATTTTAACCCAAATTCCTAAATGTATGAGAAATAGTCGTTATCTTGAAAAAATAACGACATTTTCTTTCTAAGGTATGAATAATGAATTATTTTCAAACTAATTATCGAAATTTAATTTCAGAGGATAGTGGAGTTAGGGTTTATCAGAAGAACAATGGAGATAGTAGCAAAGTACGAGCAATACGAAACTGACCTTCTCTTCTGTCTGATCAGATATTTCCTTTTCAGGTATGGTGAAGTAGTCCCCTCCTGGCCCCAACCAGCCCCCCCCCCCCCTCAAACAGTCAGAATAAGAAATAAAAAACTCTACCTTGAAACTTATTACCGGATCAATTTAATTTTGTTAAAACCGTCAAAATTACCGGAATTTATAAGGTCCGAAAGATTAAAGGTTCAAAATTTAAGAAGCCGGAATATTCGTTTCGCAAATCACGTAAAATAGAACAATTTAAAACGTGTTAAACGTGGCAACTAAATTACTCCTAAAGTTTGATCGCAATCAAACAGATTGAAATTGAGTCACTTTAGTCACGATTAGATATTATAGTTTGTAGTTTGCAGACTCTCCCAATCTACATTATAAGAAATTCCATGTGTGTAAATCTAGAACTATAGATCTGGAATTTTCAGGAAACTCCGTGTAAGAAACTGACCTCGTACGACATACATCCTTTGTTGTCTTAAACTCAGCAATCTGATGTTACAGCAACCTTGTATATGGACACGTTCATTTGAGTTTGAGGACATTGGTAAACAAAAATAATAGTGTTTTCGACGATAGTGGCTTAATTTTGGCATCTATTAACCTAGCACTGTATCATGTTCAGAAGTTCTGAGCATTAGCCACGTGACCCATACTCCCATATATGCACTGCTCAGAAATAAAATGTTTTTTTGTTAGGCACTAAAATGTTTAAAATGTCACATTTTTGTGACTTAGTTGACTGTAGCTGCCCAATTAACATTCCTTGGTCTTAAATATAGTAGATTAGGTCAATATAACAATTGTGATTTAACATTGGTTAAAGGGCACAGATCAAGTGGTTATACGGCAAAATCTGAATAACTTTGTCACACTCATAATACGATATCTTTTTTTTACTGTGAGGTGTCCTCAAAACCCTTTTAACTTATTATTTGATGGTTCTTCTATCGATTGCAGCCCTAAAATATGCTGTTTTTAATGGTTGCCTAGTACACGCACTTGGTTATTGGGAAATGAGGTTAATTCTGTCACATTTTATAGAATTTTCAATTTTGGGTGCATAACCGAAATCATTTATATCTGATTTTGGTTTGAAAAGCGAGAAAACTCCATATAAGGAGTATGGACGATACAGTTGATTCAAGAGAGTGCAGTTGATGTTAACATTGTCACAAACATTATGTGACGAAATTAACATTGCTTGCCCTATTTTAAAGTTCACCATACCTCTATTAGAACTTTAGAATTCAATATTCTTTCAGAAATAATTGGTAGATTATTTTCCAGCACATCAGAGCTTAAGTTTAACAATGTTAAGTTAAATTTTGCTAAGT